CTAAAAGGGCTTTGAATAAATATTGTCCATTGATTTCATGTTGATTTGCTTTCTCCAAGTTCCCCTTGAAAACTTCGTTGTATCACTTTTTAGGTTTGATCTTAAAATGACTCTTTGTGATATTTTCCACAGTGATTTATTACATTTTCATTCTTTATTAGAGTTAATGATATAAATCAATAACAATTTCCTAGCATTATCTGAAGATTCAGTGAGGGGCAAGATTTATAAAACAGAAGTAAATATCATCTGTGTAAATTTGCTGTGTCCTCAGTCCTCTGTGTCTAGGACCTCATTGAATCAGGTCTGGATGGGTGTGAATCAACCACTGAGGAACAAAGATTTCTTTATTTCACTGAGATGCAAGATAATCACCACAGTTATCAGTGTCATATGTTACATATTCTTACTAATTATGTGACTTTTGACCATTTCTATTCTCTAAACTTCTTTTTCTTTCACTTTAAAATAAGACAAAATGTAGTCCCATCTCCACAAGACCACAGCATCTCCACAAGCATCACCACATCTCCACAAGCATGGAATTTACCTTGCACAGAGCAAAGTCTCTGGGATGTTTTGCTATTCATCCTGTTATTGATGCAGCCTTTGTTCCTCAGAGACTACTTTATTCTAGTTTATCTCTTCCTAACATGTTCCCTTTTCTGTTGGTTGATTTGTCTTGATGTCACTGTATATAACACATATTCAGGTATGCACCTTAAATGTTCTTTCTGGGAATGCTTTTTTTTTCAGATATATAACATGATCACTTGGTTGTCAGCAACATTATGCAGTTTGTGAAAGCAAGAAATTATTTTTCTCTTTCTTGAATCAAACAAAATCAATGATACCTTGAGAATAATTTTTGAAGGGGAAATAAATGTACATTTAACTTGAAATTTGAATTCCTTTTTTTGAGAATTCTTAAAGCACTTGAAAATCTTACACAAATATTTGCCTTTTCCACATTGAAACATTTCTTCTCATAAAACTGTTCCTTACTTGTTAATCATGATCCTATAGTTCCCAAAGGCAACAGCTTTTAGAACAGTAAAAATCTGCTCAGTAAATACAAGTGATTATAAAAACAGGGGGTCAGCAAGATGGCTCAGTGGTTAAGGCTCTGGCTGCCAACATTGAGGACTTGACTGCGATTCCAGAGACACACAGTGGAAGGACGACCAATTTGTATTGGTCACATTCTGCTGCTAGTTCCTTTTGTGTTGCTCTCATGAAAAATCCATGGTTCCTTACAGAAGGAAGAATTTATTGGGCTGATTGGATCCAGATGGATCAGAGCTAAGTTGGGGGGGGGGGGTCTGGCAGCAGGAAGCAGAGAGACCAAACTAGAAAGGGGATGAGTATGAACTCTTAAAGCCAGTGATGTGCTTCCCCCAGCAAGGCCGCAACCTCCTAAACCTCCAAGAACAGTGCCACCAGCTGGGGCCAAAGTGTTCAGAGCCATGGAACCCCTGGGGATGTTCTCATTCAAAGCACCACAGAGCTCTGTGGCTGTCCTCTGACTTCCACAGAGGTGTTGTGGCTATACACATACACAAACATAACAGGAACCCACAGTAAATTAATAAATGCCCCAAAACAATGAAAAAACAGAAGTAGTCAAGTTCACGAGTTGATGATTACTTATAGTTGCATATTGTCCAAGAAATGAATCATTTTAAAAATGGATGATTTTAGTAAATAGTAGAATTATAACTTTGCATTATGTGATCTTGAATTTTATTAGATGGAAGTAAGCAAACTGGGATTGGAAATGACTGAATCTAAGTTCTTATTTGCCTTTCGAAGTTAAGTTTAAACTATATTTTGATAGTGTAAATTACTTATCTGGTGTTTTCCTTCAGACAAAATAAAATCCCAATCATCAAGATCCATCTCAGTGTTCCACTTCACGTCTTCTATCACCTACCAGTTCCATTCAAAGAGTGAAAACACACTTCTCTGGAACACAGAGAGGCGTTCCAGGATTCTGTCTTCCTAGACGCTTTTTAATAGAGACTTTCAAATATGGAGATAGATAAATGTTGACCTAATGACTTTGAAGAATTAAGCATCTTTAATTTATATCATCAATGAATACATATTATAATAATACATGAAAGGAGAATTCTTTCAAGTTTTAAGCTGCCACAATAAATAACAATTAATTAAAAGTTTTTAACAGTTTCTAAATTATAGTGCTTGTATTTATTATACCCAAACCCTTTTCTAAAATCTGTGTTATTATTTTCTGTCTCTCATATTAAAAACAAATTTCTTTGCCAACATTTTATAGAAGCCAACCATAACCAGAATTTTACAAATCATTATAATTATATATATTTGCAAATACAATTGCAAATACACTTGTCTTCTGTATTTTGCTTACGTAAAGATACTGGCTTGTTTTAACTTCCAGTCCACTCTCTATTTATGAACTATGCACACACACACACACACACACACACACACACACATCAAATACATCTAAAAATCTAAACCATTATGTCATTTCAGCCCAAGTAGTATTGTATTGTAATATTCTATTTATTTTCAAACCTGGAAACACATGCTGAAGGTCTTCCTGCTTTAACACACAGAGACAAATGTTGTGAACCTAGGGGCAGTGTTTGTGGTGGCATCTATGTATCCTCACTTATTTCTGGTCATTCACCATCAAAGCTGGATTGACACCTGTGAGCATCAGGGAAATGCTGGGACATGGGTTTAACGCCTGTAGTCCACGCTGCTTTTCTTTTTTGCATTGTTTAATACCTTTATACTGTATTCTGCTCAAATACATCCCCATTCCATACACTTCAATCCCTTTCCTACCCACCAGCATTTCCCTCCCCAGCTTCATGTGTTCCTTAATTATTTTTATCAGTATCTTAGTGAATTTTGGTGAATTTCATACAATATATTTTGATCCTGTTTAGATTCCCTCCTTTCTAAACTCTCACCAAATTTCAGGTCTGTAGAGTCAGACCTGTGTTCCTTCCCACTGAATCCACTCAGTGCTGCCTATATGTCCTTGGGTGTGGAATAAATGCCATACAACTAGTTTCTAAGGACTGTACTGACTCATGCAATTGATCATTTCAGTCTGTTATCCAACTGATTGGTTGTTGTGTAATGCCCACAGGTTTCCTGTAATGCCTGCTGTCACATCTCATTGATTTGGTTGCATTGTTACCTGTTTCTTCAGGGGAAAAGAAATCTTTGGCAGACATTATGACAAGGATTTAAAATTACCTATCCACCAAATATTTGCCAAAGCACTCCCATGTTCTTGGCATAGTTAACAGAGTGATTTTGATTCTCTTAGACTCTTACACGTGTGTCCTATAAAGAAGTTCTTATTTCTAATGTAGCTGACTTGTTCATGTGTTATATCATGTGTTGGGGAGACAATAGCCTGTCTTCACTGATCACAAAGTTTATTGCTGACACCCTATCATAAAATCAGGTTAATAAGAACAGAAAAGGTGCCCATTTAGTTTGATTTCACACAAGCCTTAAAAATGAGCTCCTAAGGATAAAGGTAAACTGTTTGGGTGCTTAGGTTGAGTGAAGAATAGACAGGTAGGTAGAAGTATGTTTGGACAAGAAAGATAATCTAATGGCAGTATATTGAAAGGAGCTTCACAAAGACTCCTTGTTCAGATTTTTGACTCTGCTGTTGAGGAATCTTTTCTCCAGGTATGGGGCAGGTCACCTGACACATGAAAGTACAAGGCCCTATTTTTAGAAGTAGCTCATAGAATTCCTTACCTAGTTAGCTACCTCACAGAAAGGCAGCAGAAAGTCAAAGGAATTCCTGAAATATACCCATGATCTGAGCTCCAAAGTAAATTGTGAGGTTCTGGCTATGACACATCCACAGTGACAGGATGGAGCTGTGCCCACCAAGTATATCCAGGACTAGAATAAGCGAGTAAATTGTGAGGTTCTGGCTATGACACATCCGCAGTGACAGGATGGAGCTGTGCCCACCAAGTATATCCAGGACGAGAATAAGCTGAGTATTTCCTAAGGCCCTAGGAATATTTCTCATTCTCTCTCTCTCTCTCTCTCTCTCTCTCTCTCTCTCTCTCTGTCTCTGTCTCTCTTTCTCTCTCTCTCTCTATATCTCTCCCTCCCTCCACACCTCCCTCTCTCCCCAACACACACCTCGCTCTCTCCCCCTCTCTCCTTTTCTCTCTCTCTCTCTCTCTCTCCCTGTCTCTGTCTCTCCTTCTCTCTCCCTCTCTATATCTCTCCCTCCCTCCACACCTTCCTTTCTCCCCAACACACACCTTGCCCTCTCCACCTCCCTCCTTTTACCTCTCTCTCTCCCTCTCACCTTCTCTGTTTCTCTCTCAATTGTTTTCTCTTTTGTGGTAGAATAACAACATAATTATGTGAGTGATTAACATGAAAGAAAACAAATTGTACCAGTCACTATTCAGAATTTGATATAAATTACGTTTAAATAGATACCTCCCATTGCTTTAGGAGATGAAAATGATTAACCACTATATGTGGTTAATGATTCTATTCTTTACCGCATTAAAGTATGATCCTACATATGTATGCATAGTATTTATGCATATTTAAGTATTCAGATATGGAAATGAATCATAGCACCCAAACATTACAATGAATTCATATCTCAATTAAATTGAGTTGTAAACCACACAGTTGCTTACCCCAAAGAGCTCATTTTAAATGCATATGAGTCTTAATGGCTCCAATGGGAAGTGAGAACTTCACTAGTGATGAATGTTGCAACTTTTAATTGAAACAAGGTTACCTAACATATTAAGGTTATATAAGAGGCTGTCAAAGCAGTTATGACTACATACATTTATAATTTGAATGTTCTGGTCAAAACAATTTTGTAAAATTACATTGGAAAATGGAACAGGTGTGAGTTTCTTTGCAGAAAGAACTATTATCATGAGATTCTATCTTTATGGTATATTTTTAATAATTTTATCTTTCTGGAATTATAGTTAATTTTAGAAGCTACTGTTTTGTCTTCGAATGCTACGGTTGCTGTAGATGACATCATTATTTCCCAGGAATGTGGAATTTCCTATAAATCACTACCAGGTACCAGTATAGAAAACAAAGGTAAGATTATTTCTTGTGGTTATTGCAACTTTAAATTCTGAATTAATTAGTGCTTACTTAATAAGATATATGTTAGAGCCACCAGTACTTAATACAAGTTGTGGATTATATAATATTTTTGCATGTATATATGCATGTATTTCAGTCTTTTTGAGATAGGCTCTCCCTGTAGCCCTAGCTGGCATGGAACTCACTATGTAGACCAGGCTAGCCTCAATCCTACAGAGATCCTCTTACAGAGATCTGCCTACCTCTGCCTCCCAAGTGCTGGGATTAAAGGCATGCGCCACCACCCATGGCTTGGTATATCTTTTTAAAATGGTAAAATTTATCACAGATTTTGGCCTTTCTTTCATTAATGGGGAAGAGAGCCTACCCTATAGGTACATTTGTCACATACACATTTCTTTTAACTATAGAACTTTTGAAAGAATTTAAATATCTTTGTATAATTTAAAGACATTTCTATTACAAATTCCCTTCCCCATCAATTTTGTTCAGCACTTAAATGAACATGTAGTGGGATTCACATTTCAGTGTCACACACAAATACACAAACCAATCATTTGGAAAAGTGAAAAAGTCCAGCCAAAAGTTGAAAACTTGACCTGAGTGTTCTGCGCATTCTGGACACAATATTTTCTTTTTTTAAAAAAAATATTATTTTCATTTTATGTGTATGAGTGTATTGCCTGCATGTATGTGACTGCATCCGTGTTGTGCAATGCCACAGAGGTCAGAGAAGGGCTTCAGATTCCCCTGGAACTGGAGTTAAGGACAGTTTGTAGCCTCCATGTGGGGGCTGGGAACTGAACCTGATTCCTCTGCAAGAGCAGTCAGTGCTCCTAAACTCTGAGTCATGTCTCCAGGCAAGGACACAATGTTTTCATGTAACAGATGCAGCTTAGCAAATTCTTGGCACTTTTTTTTTTTTTTTGTAGATAATCTCAGTTAAGTGATAGAGAGACTGCATAAAAATGCATGCCTGGTGGTCATACAGGCATTTTGGAATGGGACAGGCCAGTGCAAAGACTGGGGGAACCTGAGGAGGTGATGCCATGCTCCTGCTCCTTCACAATTCTAACACCTGTGGTTGAGGTTTTATTATTATTATTATTATTATTATTATTATTATTATTATTATTATCTCTACGCCTGGTCTCCATTCGTAAGTAGACAGTTAGGAAAACATTTCCAGAACACTGTCACTCTTATCTCTTTATAATCTCTATATTCGAAATACTTGCATGTGAAGTCAGCCACACCCCATATTCAAGTTTCGTTTCCTTAAGCAACACACTTTTAATGAGCGGAAAATTTGCATTCGTAGAGGAGCTAAATAAGGCAACTAAAAAAATGTAGAGCTGAGCATGATGCTATGCCTGTGTGGTCTCCCCCAACCCCAGCTAGTTAGGAACCTGAAGAGAAACAAGTACTAGAAACCACTGAGTTCAAGACCAGCCTGATCCACCAGAGGCAAAGATCAAGCTTGAATACACACATTAAAACAGTGTATTATTCAACTGTGAACCTAAAAATTTACAGCCACCTTTGAAAGCAATATATCCTTGCTCTGGAATGTGTTAATGAATATGTTAAGGCTGTAATGAAATGCTTCTTCTAAAAACAAAACAAAAGAAAAGCAATGTTCTAAATTACAGAAAAAAACAAGATTAAAGACCTATTTTCAAAAATTAATTTTTTATTTTAAAATTTTGTTTAAATTTATGGATTATGCTGTTGTTCATGTGTAAAGATCAAATCTGAGTGGTTAGCTCTTTATCTTAAGTATTTGTAAGTTTAATTAACACATAATAAATGTGTATGTTTATTGTAGAGTGTGATATTTTAAACAAATATACAGAGCAAATCGGGGTAATTAACATTTCTGCTTCCTTATCACTGGAACATTCAGGCTCCTCTTGATTCACAAAATATAGAATAGGCCAATATCAACTCTAGTCACCCACTGTATTGTAGAATACCCAAATTATGACTTCTACTCAACTATGTCTTGTAGCCATTGTCTATCTAACCTCTCTCTAGCTCCCTTTCCCCCACCTCTGAGCCCATAATAATCAACATCGTATATTCTATTTGGCTTGTTTTTAATACTGTGTGAGAGAACACACAGTATTTGTTTCTGTACCTTATTTGTTTCGCTTGCCTTGATCACTGCCACTTCTATCCATATTTCTACTAACTATAGGCCATTTTCGGTGGCCAAATTATATTCAATTCTGCATGTATACCACATTTTCTAGTCATTTGTGATGGGTATCTAGCTTGATTAGGTGTTGTGAATACTACCTTTAATTATAGGTCATATATTGGAAACATCTTTCATTCTATAGTCTAGTTCGATGTGCTAATACCCTATGCATTAGAATGTCTCTCCTATATGCATAAGCCTTTTAAAGTTCTCTCTCTCTCTCTCTCTCTCTCTCTCCCTCTCTCTCTGTCTCTCTCTCTGTATGCATATGCTTCTGTGGCTCTGATAACTCTGAGGAATACAAAGCTGTGCATTTAATGATGCATTTAGTAATTGATGAGTACTTTAGTTAATCAGTATTGCTTGATTTCTGTTTAATTAAATTTCTCCAAATCAAAGACCATATCACAAGAATTAAAATAATATGAAAGTATCAAAGTTGACATGAAATGCAATAGGTGGAGGTGGAGGGATGAGAGCTGTGACACTTTTCTATACTCATAAAGGTCACACCTTGTATTCTTTATATGAAAGACAGGTTAAAAAGAGAAAAGGAAAGCAATTTATTTAAACAACATTTAAAAAATATTTTATTTATTATTTTTACTTTATGTGTATGAGTGTATTGCCTGCATGTATGTGAGTGCACCCATGTCATGCAGTCCTGCAGAAGTCAGGTGGGGGCTTTGGAGTCCCCTGGTACTGGAGTTAAGGACAGTTCGTAGCTACCATGTGGGTGCTGGGAATTGAACCCAGATCCTCTGTGAGAGCAGTCAGTGCTCTTAACCACTGAGCCATCTCTCCAGCCCCTATTTAAAAAACATTTAACACAACACAAGAAACTCTAGAAATGAAGACATAAGGAACCAGGGAAACCATCTACTGTTATACTCAGCTTCCATAAGGAATGGGCAGTCATATAGAAATATGATTCGATAAAAGGGTATATGATGTAATAGACTAAGGGGAAACTGAGCAAGACTGTGCAACATTCCTTTCTTCTAACTAGAGTTAGGGTCTTATGACCTATTGTCAGGCAAGGTAGGTCATCAAAAGTCTTAATGGCAAGCTCTCACAGATAAAGATGGGGAAGGTCATAATGACTTTGCTTTGGAAGCCCTCCCGGTCTCTCTCCAATGAAGTTAATTGTTATTTCTTCAATGCTGAGAAGCAAGTGTGTTGAGAACAGTTTTAAGCTATCACTAAAGTAAAGCTTAGCGGATCTATGAGAAAACTTGATCATGCTTAAGAATACATCTTCTCATGAATCAATGCAAAATCCTTTTATGTGTATGTCTATCCCCAAACCAAATCAGTTAGCTAGAGCATAGATCTAGTAGTGCCAAATTCTATGAATTAGTCCCAAAGGACCAATGATTTTACACAAAGAAAATGCCATCTTTCTTACTAATTCACAGGTCTGCTATGCAATTATGTAATCTCCTTATGAGTACAGTCTTACAACTGGGCAGAGGCATAATGAGAGATTTGAAGGGGGACTTTAAAAATGGGCTGCACCACACAGACAGTTAATTGTCTGTGCTCTAGCTAACTTTACCAAGACCCTGTACTTGAATGGAAGTATATGAAAGTGTTCCCTTCCATACAAGGGGACTCGCCACTTCAGAGCATTCTTGCCTGTGAAAGGCTTGCCTGATATTTACAATTGATGTATAAGGCGCACTCTGAAAATAGCAAGTGGCACTATACACACTGGCTACCTCTTTATATTTTTTAAACTTCAGAATTTTTTTTATTTTCTCCTTTTACTAGTCATCTTCACCTTCAGCAAATTCAAATACTTGTGCTGAAGAAGCAGTTAAATATTCCATTTATTTCATGATAAGCGAGAGAATACATTTTATACTCTCAATCTTAATTTGAAGCTGAATTTGTGTCACCATCAATCACAGAAAGTATTTCATCTACCAAGATTTGTGATTTCATATCTGAGTGCCCAAACCAGGTGGGTGAAGGTAGTTGTGTGAAAAAGCCTGATTTATGGCTCTGGAGAGACGGCTCAGTGACTAAGAGCACTGGCTGCTCTTTCAGAGGACACAGGTTCAGTTCCCGGTACATACGTGGTGGTTAACAACCGTCTGTAACTCCAGCTCTAGGGAATCTGATGTCTTCTTCTAAATTCACTGTTGGAATAGGAATCACTCTGTGAGGCTTCCAGGATGTCAAAGAGCAACACAGTACATGCTGTCTGGAAGTTCAATGGACTAGCATTGTATAAAAAAAATTGTTAATCCCCTTTTCTTTGTAGCTATTTTTCCAATTTAAAACATATCACAAATATGTAATGATAGCTTTATGGACATAAAAGGAATAGAAAACATGATAATTTTGATAACAGACTCAAGATTATAGTGAATTGAGTTTAAAACTCATTGATCATTTTCGTTTCTTTGCATGTTTTTTTCTGTTTTTGTAGTGATGATTTTGTGCTGTGAAACTGTTTATTAATACAAATGCTAACATTTTATTCTATTTTTATGAATATTTCACTAAAGTTCTGGCAATGAATTAAGAGAAGGTAACAGCATTAGGAAGCACTTAGAAGACTAAGCCTGTTTTTCATGTCCTCCAGTAAAAGCATTAAAAGGAAGTATGCTATGCTGAGAGTCTGAACTAACTAGCTTAATGGTTTCCAGTAGAGAACCCAAACCTAAGTTGCTGAAAACCCAGGACTTCCCTGTGCAGAGGAGAAGACCTTGCTTTATAATAGGCCTTCAAATATTTGATATTTTAGTGCAATTTAATATGTTTTTATTACTTTCACAGC